TAACAATGAAAGAATGAAATTATTATTAGCTGGTCACCATTGAAACGGTTAAGACTTCGGTTTTTTTCTTGTTTCTTTCAACTAATTAAGTCGTTCAAGACGTAATTAAACTAATAAATTTAGAATGACTCATCGAATGAAATTAATTGTCATTTCCTTAAAAGCGTGAGCATGACTCTCTTGTCCTCGTTTTCATCGGCGCTGATCAAATATTTAAGACATAAAAAGTGCAAACCGAGCTCATTCTGGAATTGTTATTCTCTGACTTCAATGCGCAAAGTATTCACTCACTTGGCAAAAATGTAGCGATAAATTTTCACAACTACACTAAATAAAACAAGGAAGGGGACCTACTTATCCTAGAAATGAGTTTTGGATTAATTCCAATCATTGTTTTCTCGTTTACAAGTGCACAATTTACGCAAATCCCACGCGTTTCGATCGCACGGGAAAACCAGTGAAATGACGTCCTAAATTTGTTGAATATAACGACGATGCCAACACCGGAAGTCGAAAAAAAGTGTCCTGTCCAGACTACCCGCGCGCTCTCCCGCTCTGAAATGACGTTCCCGTTCCCGTCCTTTTGCTAACTCACTCTCATGTTACGCAAGGAGTGAGAAACGCGATAGAGTAAAATTCGATTTTGAAGAGCAGAAAGGATGCCATAAGTGTAACTTAACACTCTCCAAACACTTTTTAAAAGAGACACAAAGTAGTTGCAGATTAAATTAAATTATGAACCTATTTAATTCTAATGGAAAATGGCTGCTTATCTCAATACCAGTAATCAAAACGATTACAGAATTGTTTCAACCACAAAACAAATTTACAACAGAATTCAAAAGCACCTGAGCAATTATACTAAAACAATTATTCGTCTCAGGGTCAGTGAATAGTGTCGCCTTCATCTCGGGGATTATCCATCGATATCCATTTCGCCTTTGGCGAACAATGAACAATGTAAAAAACGAATGAAATATTGTGACTTTCCCATTGAGCATGGCTTCCCTCTGAAATTTCATTCTCAAGAAAAAGTAACGCTGCTTGAACGTGATGTTACAAAGCATAAGTCATCAGCGTATCAATATTCTAATATCGCATACCTATGAGCTGTTCAATTTTGAATTCCCTGGGCTTCGTTTTCTTTGCATCGCTTGATGAGAAGAATTTGTTGAGACCGGCTTTGTGTGTAGAATGTTGACCCTCCCTCCTAACTTTTCGCCGCAAATCCTCCGTGTTTGTCCGGTATTCAGCGTCTGTATAATCTAACCACGGAAGAAAAACTTCACTAAATGGCTCAACAGAGTCAATAGGGTCGGCAGTTGAAACGTCCACGACGTCGAAACAGGTAAGAAAGGGGGAATCAAATGGTTCAATACAGGAATCAAGTGAATAATGAGTCGCCAGGTTTGAGTCTTTTCTAACCGCGGTTACCTCATCCTGTTGTATAGCATGCTGCTCAGTTGCCAAGTTTCGCTTGGAAACAAAAAATTCTTTTGTGGCATGTTCTGCTGTTCTAAATGGCTCCTGTCTGTCAAGCCTCCTGGTTTTTGTTCCCAGGCGAGAGGAAGAGGTTTCGTGGTGTTGCTCCGTAAGTTTTGAATCATCCTTCGAGATCTTTTCCTGAAAGGAAGCTATTGTCTCTCTCAGAGAGCAACTCGCTCTTTTTTTTCCACCATCGAAGTATTTTTTCTTTTCATTGTCATCAGTGCTTTCCAAATTACTGATTTTTTGCTCTCTGGTCAATTTGTTATTCGCCTCCCGTATGATATTATTGAGCCATTCTCTTACGGCTTTCTTAGTTTTCTCTGGATCTCTGGTCATTGGACAGTTTGATTCCAGAAAGGCTCTCGTAGGTAACCATAATGATTGGGTTCCCTTGTTTCCATCTTTTGCGGAAAATGTACTTTTTGCTTTCCTGACATTAGTTGCTATCTCTTCTCTATCAACCGTGCTTTGTTGCCTCTCATCCTTACTAGTTGAGCTAATGAACCCTTGGTTAAGCGTTGAATATTCAACTTTCGATGGTATGACTTGTTCGCCGGGATTAGAAACGAGAGAGCGTGTTTTTTCTTTGTAAGTTGTTCTTAGGTTGTCATTTGGAATGTCAGACT